GTTACAAACAACCCGTCAAATGGTATCCAGCTATGAGTTAGTAAACGTCATGTACAAGTGGCTGTGTCGGGCTTTCATTTTTTTGTTCGAGCGAGGAGCAAATTGTTGCTATGGAAGAGGATTTTGGGAATGAAATATGAGCAGCTGAATTATTAGAAATCAATTTCAGGTGACTGAAGCTAAGCAATCTTAAACTAGTCCATATCATTTTCGTTAATTGTTTTTAGCGGGTATTGGCCTAGTCCCTCCCGTTTGTTTTACTTTTCCTTTTTTCTTCTTATTATTAATAAAATCCTGTAGATGGGGGACGGGCGGGGGGTTTCTGGATGCAACGATCATTTCTCTTTTGGGAGAGGGTTGGTGCCTCTCACGCGACTATTGACGAATAGCTAATCTCGCCTAATCCGTCTCTACAAAAAAAAATTAAAAAAAATTAAAAAAACCGTCATTTTAACAATCATGTGTCTTTACAATGTGATTTTTGTGGTAAGATGATGATATTATGCACAAAGATTTTTGTTAGCATTAATGCATTTTCCGATTTACATGTAGCATTGATTTTAAGTGCACGTAAAGATTGACATATAAAAGGTTTATGCTGACTTGGCTGCCGGAAAGCCACACTGAAGGGTGATTTCATCGATCAGAGTGTAGACAGAGGGTGAGTCTCCGGTCACGTGTAGGGTTATCATTAAACCTCTACTCTGGGTTGTTACGTTATTGTCTGCATGCTCAATTATTGAAAATCTAGGGCAAAACAATAGTAGTGGGACATGATTTCATGGAGGAGTTCGTCGTTGATTCATCAGAAAGGAGATAATTTTTAGTGTGTTTGGGAATATATGACTGGTATGTCAAGTGACAACATAATTGATTATTTTTTTTTTCTAAGATTAACTAATTGTATTATAACACTTGGTATACTGGGTTATGCCATTGATATTGAAAAATCTATTGGCACAATGACTTCTCAAGCCACTAACTAACATCCGATCATGTGCGAAACTTTTTCTAATATGACTTTGTAATAGTGGTTCAGTACGCCACAATTATATTGAATTCATTTCATATAAGTCTTTTTCAAACATGATGAATCAAAGACTTTAAAGGCGAGTTCATCATCCAGAAAGATGCAGCGCACTCCAGACAAACAATACCAGCTATAGATTTGAATGTCAAATATTTGGCTGCACGTCTCAATCATCAAGAGTAGAGTTAATAGACTTGATACAAAGGGTAGTAGACAAAAAATCCATAGTCTTTGCCACTAGTCTTCATCCATAGTGATTTGCTTGTATACTTTTCCAAACAAGTAGAGATTGCGTTGTTAACTTGTTATATTGTCTTATGGAAAATGCTAGGTTGAAAAGTCTCACCACCAACAAGTAACAACCAACCCATCAAATGGTATCCAGGTATGAGTTGGTATACGTCATTTTAACAAGCATGTGTCTTTACAATATGATTTTTGAGGTACGATGATGATAATACGCACACAGATTTTTGTTAGCATTTATGCATTTTGCAAGTTACATGTATTATTGATTTTAAGTGTATACAGACGATTGATTTTAAGTGCACATAGACGACTGACATACCCTATTCTTATAAGGCATTTGAACAAATTAATACTTAATATACTCGACCATCCTAATATAATATAGTTTGGCTACAATAATATTAGGGGATATCCTCAATCAGTTGAGGCATCGAGCTTCTGCCTAGCTAAGTTTATGTTGACTGGTGTATAATGTATATAACCAAAAAGCACATTGTCTTCATAGAATTTCTTATGTTCATCTGTTTTGAAATGGAAGTGATATAAAACCAACAAGTTACAAGAAGACTGGCGTTTTACTAAAATTTATGGTTAAACTTCTACTAGTTAAAAATTAGTGATAATTATGCGATTCATGAATGGGATGCATAATATATATTGGGTGATGCTATCCATACACACTCCATCTCATTTTTCCTTAACGGTTGAGTCGAATAACTTGAAAAAAATAAAAATATAAAAATTAACAGAGGTTTTCGCACCACCCTTATACAACTATATGAACCATTATTTATGAATTTGAAACATTTTAATACATGAATCTACTCTCAAAACACATTAGCATACATAATTAAACGAAAGAAGTGGAAAATATACTTTCCATATCCATTTTGAGTAGTGTTCAGAGACAAATGACCATTAAGCGAAATAAGTGGAAAATAAAGTTGTTAGAGTGTCTGGTAAACTTGTTTTGTAAAAGTACTTTTAACTAAAAAAATAGTGTCTGCTAAACTTTTGTATAAAATTGCTATGAGCATATTAAATGACTAAAACTAATCACCATGCTTTAAAAAATAAATAAATAAACGTTTTCTTAGAAGTATGGTAGACTCTGCTTCTGCGTTTCTATGCTTTTCACATTTGATGTTCTAAATTTTTTAATAAGCTTTTTTTTTTTTTTTTTAAAGCATCACAACTCCAAACCAATCTGTAATCACTTCAGGCATTGGGAATCGGAGGATGTGCACCATCAGTTCGGAAATTTTCCTTGAGCATCTCGGCAGGTATGTTGTCCCCGATTTCTTTGAACAAAAATTCAGGCAACGGAGAGTTGAAGCACACCTTCGAAGCAGTCAAACTCGTTAGGAGTTTTATCGAACAAGGCTTCGAGCTCCGGTCTAATGAATTGGGCTATAATTTCAGTGCATGTGCCAGGACGTCTGACATCTTCCAGTGTCCAAATCGTAACTTACGATATTGCTGCATAGATAACCCCCTCATATTGGTGGTTGAATTAGAGATTTATCTCAACCAATCAATGTATTAATGAAGCATTGTAATCATAGGTAATTTCCTTTACTAACCTAGGTATAAACCAAAGAGAAATACTTAGTTACGGATAAATCTTTTTTTTTTGACAAACGAGAGGATAATATGCACCGAATTTTTCTAACTTTGGGGATCGGAGAAAATTTAAACTCAAAAAATAGTGAGTTCAAAAGAAACGCTCTATCTACCAAGCAATCCGCCACTTGTTTGACCAATCAATTAATTACCTTGTTATTGATCACAATCTGTTCCTTTCAATAGTATTACAAAAAATGCCACGGTAATCATAGGTCATGTTTCTAAATTGTGTCATTTCTCATTTCCTAATTTATAACATATTGCTGATCAACATAAGTGTTTTGTAATTAATATTGAATAACTTGAACTTTACTTTATATTGTATGAAATCCACAAATCGTAAACCATGTATGGGGGCTAATGCATGTCCTGTGTCGGAAGGTCAAGGAAGCTAGTGACCTAATGACATGGGAGCTGGCAATTAAAACTAAGAAGCGACCATAACTATAACGGTCCTAAGTCAAAAAATATATTGTCGAATAAGTTTCAAATTCCAACACAGTACGAAAGAAGTAATGATCTTGACAGTCGTACGCAGTTCCAACCCAAACCCCAATTGTCAAATGAACCTCTCACACCTTTCTCAAACCCTGTAGGCTAGTTGGTATCCACATTCCCATAGGGCTAAATGGACCATAGCAAATCAACCCAATCAAAAGCCCAATCAGATTCCAAACAACCCACATCCAAATCAAACACGGGTCAGAAATGACCCAAATTTCAAATCGGGTTAGTCATCTCTGTCTGTCTTCCCCTAAAACCCTAGACTTTCTTTTACCCTGGTGTCACAGAAAACGCAAAAGTTTTAATCTTTGAAAATCGTAAGGAACCATGATGAACGGCGGTCGGCACCAAAACAAATTCGCATGGAAGCCAAACCTCGGCGTCAAAATCAACGAAACCGAGGTCGGAGGCCGGTTCCGGCCGCTGTCGGAGATAACGGGGGTCTGCCAGCGCTGCAAGGAACAGATCGAGTGGAAGCGCCGTTACGGAAAGTACAAGACCCTGACGGAGCCCGCCAAGTGCCAACGTTGTACCAAACGCGCAGTCCGCCAGTCCCACCATAAGCTCTGTGCTGCTTGTGCTAAGGAGCAACGTGTTTGTGCGAAGTGTTGCTGTCGTGTCGAGCAAATTGTCGGAAAAGACCTTGCGGAAGTGGAGTCTGAGCAGAAGAAGCTTCAAGAGGTTTGGTTTTTTAACGTTGTTTTTTGTTAAGTTTACAGTTTTTAACTGGTTTTCGATTCGGAAATTGACGAAAATTGATGGGTTTGTTTTGTTTCGTGAAAATTGTAATGCACAGGCGATCAAAAATGCAAGAGAAAGAGATAGGAGGAGTCTATTGCGTGCGGTATGTTCTCGAATTCGAACACATTTGTTTGTTTTTGTATTGGATTGTGAATCAAAAGTTGCATAATTTGTGATCTCGGATTGTACTGTAACAGATGAATGCTGGAAAATCTGCGGGTGTAGCGAAAGCTGCAAGCGAGAAAGAAGACAAAGCAGGGGACCTGTTCCCCTCTGCCTCACTCGAAGAATATGCAGAGGCAAGCAGAGATGATGATGATGAGGATGACGACGGTGATGATGGTGAAGGCGACGAAGATGAGGCACATGTTTTCAATTAAAAGAGGTGCTAAGTAGTATTTCAGTAGCGAACATGTGGATTACGCCAGTTGGCTATGATCGTCTAGTGTGCCATCCTTTGCACGCAAGTTCGAAATCCCTTGCATCTCTTTGTACTATCAATGACAAATTGGGCAAAGATATCCTCGTTTCTTCAACACCATGAAGAAGGTCTTGAAGATGTAAACTGATCAACGTCTTTTTTTTCGTGTTTCTTTCGTTGTTTTAGTGGTCCACGCATAATTTTGTACAAGTGCTTATGCACAGAAACTTTGAAATTTTGTTTGTTTTTAACTATCAATGAAGTAGGTCTTGTTTAATATTATCACAGATCAAGTTGCATTGCTTTTGGGGGGTTTCTTGGGTTAAAAGCAAGCTGCCAATAAAGTATGCTAGGCACCTGGGGAAGATCGAAAGCTTAATAGAAAAATAAGAGAGATCCAACTTCACTCTTCAAGTCAACAGCGTCGAGAGTGATTGAATCTTCAAATGGTTGTTATTTATCCAAGTTGGAAGGAAGAAGAAAGCCAATCTTACGAAATGCAGAGGGAAAGCAGTTTCAAGCCAGTCAGATGCCTTCTTGCGACGATGCTATGTGCCATTCTCCTTGTCAGCCCCGTTACAGTCTTCATTTTCGGCTTCCACATCTCATATCCGCAATCCTTTTTCTCTTTCAACGCCAGTATCTCCCACGACCAATTTGTTTTGCCTCACTCCCTGCACACGGATGTCGCTCATTTGCAGATCCAGCTGGGACTTTTGTTGCAGCAGCTGCATAATGAAAGTTCCGAATCAAAAGTACTTGTGAAATTTTCAGATCAGGTTCTTCGCATCGCCATTTCTTTGGACAAGCTTGCTGATAGCATTACAAAGAAGCATCAACCGGACAAAGATGAAGTAAGCACCGTGGATGAAGATTTCACAAATCCAGAGGAAGGTGAAGCTGAAGCTGAAGAACAGGTTCCAGGTGGCACAATCTTCACTTCGGGTGAGATTCGTATTTACATTTCACCAAAACAAAACAGGCAGATTGGGAAGAAAAATTTTCTTGGGGTAGAAGCAATAACTCCATCAATTGGGTTGGCTTGTGCCCGAATGGCAACCAATTTAGACCGGTTTATGAGTTATAAGATCCACGGCACGTGCCCAGATGATTCGGAAATAGCTCAGAAGCTTTTAGTTCGTGGATGTGATCCATTGCCAAGAAGAAGATGCTTCACAAAATCACCGCCACACTACACCAAGCCACTTCCTATAAACTTCTCCCTTTGGACTCAACCTAGCAATGCTAACATCTTATGGAACAGTTACAAGTGCAAAGACTACTCTTGCCTTGTTTCGAAAGAAACCAAGGACCGAAGAGGCTTCTTCAAATGCTCGGACTGTTTTAACCTTTCGAAACAAGCGTGGGACACACCAACAAACGAGTCTGCATCGGCAGAGTTCACCATCGATGAAGTTCTAAGCTTAAAGCCGGGGGAGATAAGAATTGGCCTAGACTTTAGCCCGACCACGGGAACATTTGCTGCTATCATGAGGGGAAAAAACGTTACCATTGCATCAAGTACCTTAAACTTAGGGGCTCCTTTCAATGAGGTCATCGCCTTAAGAGGCCTTCTTCCTCTTTACACATCAATCGGTTCGAGGCTACCTTTCTTCGACAACACCCTCGACATTATCCATTCCACTTTGTTCTTGGATGGCTGGATTGGAGCTGAACTCCTTCAGTTTGTATTGTTTGATTGGGACCGCGTCCTTCGGCCTAAGGGTCTTATTTGGATTGACAGATTCTTCTGTCACAAGGAAGACATGAAGTTGTATTTGGACGAGTTTAAGAGGTTAGGCTACAAGCCATTGCTATGGAGGGTAGTGCCCAAGACCGATAAGCTTGGAGATGAGCTCTTCTTCTCAGCTGTTTTGGAGAAGCCAATTAGAGGTTCATAATCATCGTTAACGAGTAAATTCCAGAGGTTAATAACCGTCGTTAATGAGTAAATTTCTCAATATCTGTGTTTTAATGAATCCTGTGATCTTTTAACTAGTAATACTTGTCGTTAACAGCAGGGATTAAGCATTTCTATTGTAGTTAGTAAGGTTTGCAATTACATTGATATTTTAAAGAGAACAATGTATAGCAACATGAAATTATTATATAACTTGCATTAATAATGCATTTTGGAGTACTTGAAGCCACCGGAAGATTTGACACAAAACCGAGCGCAGTGATGCTTGAGACAAAACTGAGCGTAGCAACCTTCTAAGATTCCTACGGCTGAATCCACTTAGTGGGATAAAGCTTTGTTGTTGTTGCATTAATAAGTTGAAATTCCCTGCTGAGAGTGAAGGTACACTTGCTATAGAACCAAAAATTCAAATGAGTTCAATTAAATTTTTAAAGAACGATATCAAAACTACGTAGCAGAAAAATTCTTGAACGAATTCGGAGGACCTTTCCAAAAGTATGCATATTGAGATATCTTGGGATCAAACTGCCCAATCGAAATTAACAAATTAGGCTTCAGCGTCCACAATCTCTAGCATTCCTCGGAAATGTTCGGTACCAGTTTGTTTCATGACCAAATTTTCTGTCGTTGCACAGTCGCTCCACGGCTAGAAGAAAAGGTTGTGGATGGAAGAGGAATGACCACCTATTCATCTTTTGCGCACAAACGCTCTGAAAGTAAGGAAACAACAAAATAGAAATCAGTTAACAATTTCGGGTATTCGCAAGTCCAATGCTTTTTGCTTGAGAAGTTGAACAGCAGGAATTTAAAATTTCTGCATGTATAGATTTCGAGATAGGTCACCAAAAGTAGATTGAACCTAGAAGTTGGGTAAACATTACGCGACGGAAACATAAAGAGAAGAGGACCCAAAATATAGGTTAAGAGTTCGTACTCAGATATTCATAAGCCAATATCATCGAGGTGCCCCAGGCGGACATACTGAAAAATCTTGGACCTAGCCCTCTGTAGAAACCTTGCCAGCCATCTTCTCTGATCAAGTTCTTAACAACTTCTCTTGCAGTGGGTCTCTTATCGTGTCCCATTGTCTACAATACAACGACATAATTATTGTAAACACAAATTTGTCGATGACTTGGTCAAATGAAGAATGAGCAAGCTGCAAGCCAGCAAAGTAACCAGATACATTAACTGTTTATATGAATACCTGCAGTCGTGTCTTGATGGTATCCAATGGAGTTGTTATGCAGGATGCTGTTGCACCTGCAATAATTCCACCAGCAGCTTGAACCAACACTATTTTCCCCACGCTCGGAACAGCTTCATCAGAACCAGTTCCACGGCCTAAGAAACTGCTTCATAAACCAGGATAATGTAACACCGAGATATTTTGTCAGGCAATAAAGATAAACTGTTGAAAAAAAGGGTATTTGATTCACCTAAACTCCTTCACCTTATAACTTCATCTAAGAGGAACGAAGTTCATTTACAAAATTATAGATATTCATTGGCTTGATGGACTTTAGAATTGCTAACCAACCTAACAACCGACAAAGTTGCAGTACTGATGTTTATGTCCGACAACTCATTACTTCTTAACATAATTATCATGTTCCACTAACACACTCAAACCAGAGGCCACCTAAAACGAACAATAAAATGATACACCTCCAAACTTTTCATGCCCTGGTAAAATGATAAATAGAATGTTCAACAGAAAATCTTAAGTTATGTATGGCCAACATTCATTTGAAAGATATAAAATTTACTGATTAACGAATTATGAATTAGTTGACCTAGTTTAAGAATAAATACAACTAGAGTTAATGGACAACAAAAAACCATTTCTCACCTCCAGATTAAGCGCTGGCTTGAACCATAACTAGCCCACCATACGGCGCTAGATGGAGAGTAAGTCATAATAGAAAGTCCAAACCCTCTATAAAGTCCTCGTATGCCATCCAACTTTATAACCTTACGAGCAACATCCATCCCCCCGGTGTACTTTGCATGGCCCGAGTACCCTTGCACCATCAATCTTTGACTAATCTAAAGAAAACCCATTACTCAAAATTAGCATCTCAAACCCCTAATTACAAAAGTACTCAAATGAAACTGATAGATCCTATAAAGTTATTTACCACATCAATGGGAACAAAGACAGCCTGAGAGAAAAGCGAGGCAGTCATTCCAGCTACTCCATTAGCCAAAGCTGCCTCTGTAGCCTCAGATAAGTTGAAGGGTTGAACCATCTTGAAAGCAGCCACCTTGGTGGCCTCTAAAGCAGTGAGAAATATAATCCGGGCAGGAACTGCACCGGTGATCACAGTGCCAAACCCTCGGTATAAACCACGAATACCATCTGCTTTCCAAATGCCTTTGGCCATAGACAATGCATCTCCCTCTAGAGCATCTTTGGAAGCAACTTGTAGCCGGGTTTTCACCACGGATACTGGGTACAGTGCCACTGTGACCCCTGTAAACAAGCCAGCTCCAACCACATAAAATTTAGTCTTATCAAGCCTGCATAAAATTCAATACACCACAAAGTTCACTCATTTGAACACTCAACCAATATATAAATCACGGGTTTCGGATTTCGTTTCGAACTCTTCAATTAATCAAAGAATTCATAGCATCATCAAAACTCAATGGAACACAAAATTCACTCATTTGAGCACTCGACCAATATATGGGTTTCCAATTTCCTATCGAATTCTTTGATCAATTGAAGATTTCGTAGCATTAATGTCAATGAATGCACACCCAGAAACATCTACAAAACGCAAAAACAAAGCGATAACAAATGGGATTTTCTCAATTAATGGACAAAAATAAAAATTGATCGAATAAAGAACATACTTGTCCCAATTAATCTCGGTGTTGCCAATGGAGGCCGCCATGGAGGTCGCTCGAAATCGAAGAGAAGAAGGAGGAAGCCGGCGACTCGGGATTCAAGAAAGCATCTTGTTTCCGAATCCGAAAAATCCCCCAAGATTCTGGGAAACGGGTACGAAGTTAGATTGAAACGATTAGCGCGTGGAAATGTAAGGAGTTTTCTTCTTGAATTTGGGATTTGGGAGAACTTTGATTGCTTGGCGGAGGAGGAATTGGAGAAAACTCAACCGGCCGACTCTTGTTCTGCTTACGGCGGCGGCTCAGCGCGGGTCAGGAGGTTGTTTTTCCTTTGCAGGGTGGCGTGTGGCGTGCTTCTCCCAAAATTCATAAAATTAACAACACATTAATTACTTATTCATTTAATAAATTCCAACAGAAAAATTATTTAATAATTTTTTTACCAACTGACAACGAACCATTCAATCTCCACTAATCTTCTTCTGCAACAAACTATTAGTATGATACTGTTAGTGATCTAAAAATGATATTGTTTGTTCAAAAAAAAAATTGAAGCATCTAGTAATATTCGAAGTGTCATGATATCAGTATTTTTTAATTTTTTTTAAGCTATTATTTAAGATTTTGATACAAAAAATCATTGTCATGTTGCTATTTATTTTACTACTCTCACTTGTTTTATCCAATCTTCTCGTGAAGACGAAACTTCCCGCCATGAATAGCCTTCAAAACCATTCTCATTCTCTTATGCATTGAACTTCATCAAAATTTATGTTTTATAAATCTATTAAAATCTTTCAAAATCTCTTAAAATCTTAAATGAATACAATTTCAAAAATTTGATTCCGTTTCGTACGGGTCGGCAATAAATTTGGTCCGGGCCGGGATTGCTATTATAATTGAACAACCAGACAGCCCAGTTGGGTAGATTTTCTTTGGTTCCACCATATTCCTTCCTTTTGAAATTGGATTGGCATAAGTTGGTGAAATAGAAAATTATTGGCTTTTTTTTTTCCTTTTTTTTTTATTGAACAAATTACTGGGCCTTAACTTAATTAGCGAACCCCATGCATGCACATGGTCGCCCGTTTGATTTAAATGGATGGTTCTGAAAAGTGAAAACACGTGTACACAATACGTTTATTTTTTTAGAGTTGTGTTTTGTAAAAAAGTACCGAGGGTATAAATCTCACATTTGAAAAATATATAATTTTTTATATATTTATAAGTAGTTAAGTCATTCTTCGTATAGTTAATTATTTTTGTAGTGAATCTCAACTTTCTTTGTGATATTAAAGCATGATCTCTTATGTGTGAAGTGTAAGTCCACATGTGTTTTATGTTACCTGATTTAAGTGGTTCATGTGTTATACTTTAAAATTGTCAGAACAAAAAAAAATAAAAATAAAAGGTTTTTTAACTTTAATCCTTCAAGAAGATTGAAATTTAAAATAAATCTGGTGTTAAATTACATATTGATTATAATTCCTTGATGTGTCCTTAGTTCAAAATAATTAATGTGTATTTTATGTAATGTCTCCCATTAAATACTTAAATTTATAAATATACAAATTTTAATTTATTTTTTGACCAAAAAAGAATTTTTTTAATTTATTAATTTTTTTAATATTCTTCAAACTTGAAATATTCAATTAATGTACCTAAATGTTAGTACGAAATGTGTGTACCGAAATGCATTATATTGAACTAATGTATTTAAATGTTTGTACCGAAATGTATGTACCGAAATATACGCACCGAAATGTATTACATTAAATTAATGTACCTAAACGAGTGTACCGAAATGTTAGTACCAAAATTTATTATATTGAATTAATGTACTTAAAGGTATGTACCGAAATATGTGTACCAAAATGTGTATACAGAAATGTATGTACCGAAATGTATTATAATGAATTTAATATACCTATATGAAGAAGACAAAGCACATCGAAATATATTGTATTAAAAAAAATTAGTTTATCTAAATGTTTACAACAAAATAAAATTAATACATTAAAAATTAGGAAGAAAAAGAAAAATAATTAAAAAATCAAAATATGATTAATAAATGAGGTTATTAATGTATCAAGGGACTAAAATTAAATTTTGATCTTACTCATGGTTTTAATCTAAAAGTCATCTTTGTCAAGGATTAAAATAAAGTTTTCTATAAAAAATATAATAAAGTAAAACGAATTTTGAGTTTCATAGAATAAAATAACGACTTTTGAGTTATAAATGCAAAGTACAACACAATCAAATTTCCAAAGACATAACTATTTTTCTTTTTTTTAGTAAACAATATTATTTATACTAAGGAATGGGAAAATGAGCTAAGTCTCACAATGAGATAATATGGTTCAGATTCGTCTTTGGTAAGTCTTTTAATAACTTACCCAAAAAAAAAATCTTTTAATAGCTATAGAAGGTTGCACAAGAGAGAAAGTATGTGTCTAACTATATTGTTTGACTACTAGTTCGTTTGACAAGTATTTTTAAATGATTGAAAACGTTTTTAAATAAAATGTTTGTTGAACAAATTTTAGTAAAAATGCAAGTTAATTCTGAAACTAGCAAGAAGCACAGAACATATACTTTTAGCAAAGAGCACTTTAAATACTTTAAGAATCCAAAAATATTTTCTCTAAAAATACTTTAATGCAATTCAAAAATATCCTTTAAAAATGTTTTTAATCGTTTAAAAGCACTCGTCTAATGAACCGTACGTCACGCCATTAACTTACAAATATATGTTGAAAACTGGATTTTAGAGACCGCTAATTGGCATCCACGTGTTTCCCCAAAAAAAAAAAAAAAAATGTCGTCCACGTGTTTGACCGATACCATGCACATTTTATACGCAAGAAAATTAGGACAAGGTCTAGATCTGCATCCGCGGAAAAGGGTTTATAAATCTTTGGACTTGACTCTATCCTCCCAACTTATTAACCGAAATATTTCATTTCATTAAACCATAAAATAAGAATGCATGAATTGTCATTTAGCATTACGGTTTAATAGTATTTTTCTTTACTTATAAGTGAGAGGTCTTATGTTCGATTTTCATTAAAGACAAGTTTGAACCATATTATTGTTTGCTCATTGTGAGGCTAAAACCTTCATCTCCCCCTTAATGTAGATAATATCATTTGTTCAAAAAAAAAAAAACACATGAATATTTCAGTAAGGTCTACTACTAGAATACAAATCAATAATATATTTATGTTATGAGCGGACAGTGACGGAACCAGAATTACTTGTGAGGGAGAGCCTTTCATGTGTATTGAGGAAAAAAAGTTCTAAACTCATAACATAAGCAAATGAAGTAATCTTGGCAAAACTTGAAAGAAAGTCCCTTTAAAATTAATAGAGAGAACCGAGAGAAATGTACAAAACCATACAACTAAGTGTGAGGTAGAGAGGAGGGTAAAATGCACTAAAAATTTAAAAATATAGAAAAAAGTACGAAAAAATCTCATTTGATAGAAAAATGAAGGTTTGCAAATAATAGTTTATTATATTGCTTTATAAATAACATTAAAGTCTATTTTAAACTCGATTCCTAAAACTCTCCATTTTGCTTGTCACATAGTAGTAGGGTATAATGATGTTTCTCTTCACTTGTAAGTGAGAAATCTTAGATTTAATTCTCACAAAAAGCGAATTTGAACCATGTTATTATTATTAACCCAGTGTGAGACGTAGCCCACTTTCCTACCATCTTAATTCAATTGATATCATTTATTATAAAAAAAAAAAAAAATATATATATATATATATATATAAACCCCTCCTTGCTTTGCAACCATAAAGAAAACAACAAAACTGCTAATTTTTCTTTTTCTACAAATGCAGGCTTGGGGCGCCTAAATATTATTTTACACTGTAGCCAGATGGACTCAGAACCACCATGGTCTTTTAGTGGCTCATTTCACGAGAGTGAGAGAGTTGCATTAAATTACATAATGAGTTTGTCATAATTAATATCAAACTTAGTATTTTCGAGAGTTAAATTTAAAATATCTTACTTATAAGTGCAAAAAAAATATCACAGCACCATAACACTAAATGACCAAAAATTGAAATTAATTATCTATTTCCAATTGAAATATGAAATTTGGCAACAACTAAAAAAAATTGAAATATAAAAAATTAAGCTCCAAACGGGCATGATAACTACTAAATGTCTAGAAGCTGCCAAATTGTCAAACCCTTGATTTCGATTTGTGATCATCACAACTGTCAAGTATTTATTTACTTTGAAACAGTCAATTAATCTTTTTTAACCCATTTTACAAATTAAATCTTACCATAAAACAACCCACAAATTAATACTTATTTCCTTTGAAGAACTCATCTTTTATAATACGATATTTTTATTATCTCTTGTGCATGACATACACTGATGACTGCGGATTAAATATGCAGCTAACGATTGAACAATAAAAAATCTAATCGTAAAAAATTATAATGTGTACTGGACACTGACGACTGAGGAGTACTAAAAAAACCTCGTTATTATATTTTTATTATAGAGTACACATATATTTCTCAGCACCATTATTTAATACAATCATTATCTTTAAAGTCGAACCGAAAACTTCCAGACTTTTAATTAAATTAGTTAATTAAAAATTGGCTACATTTATATTTGACAAAAGAAAAGGAAAATGAGTACATTTAACTGACTTGCAGACTTGGAAAGTGGGCAGTAGCACACGCTTCCGCGTTCTCCCCACTCTTTATTTCCACACTCTTTTTCTCTGTTTTTCTTTGTGTTCAGACGAAGGCTGTGCCACCACCTCTGACAAAAAGTATGAAACTTCGCGGCACCTAAGAAAAATTAGACCACAAACATTCCGACCAGAACAAAATCTAATTGCCAGAAATGGGGTTTCTGTTCCTGCCCATGATTCGATCAGTCCCACAATTCATCAGTTTCGCCACCTTTCTTGTCTTTGTGCTTTCTTGCACCACCAGCTTCATTGCAACAGGTATATATGCTCAGGCTTGATCAATATTTTCAAAGTTTGAATCTTTTTTACTCTTTTTTACTTGGTAATTTGTAATTTCTTCAAAGTTTGAATCTTTAATTTTCTTGGTCCAACGTGTGTTATTTCTTCAATGTTTGTGAGGTTTTGGCTTTTGGGTTTTCACTTCTACAAGTGAGGGAATGAGGTTTTATTTTTGTTTATTTTTTAATGTTTCAAAACTTTTAATCTTCTTGGTTTTGGTTTTATCTGATGTTGATGCAGATGGGTTTTCATGGTAAAATTGTATTTCGTTATGAAGTTCTTGCGTTTCGGAATGAATTCGAACTTTTTGAATTTTAACAGACGAAATTGTGGCAAACAAGGCTCTGCAATTATTGTTTGACATAGTTTTTGATTGATTCAAATCATCACATTGTTCATTGTTTTTGTTAATTGCCAGAAGCGTATGATCCACTCGACCCGAACGGAAATATCACCATCAAATGGGATATCATAAGCTGGACTGCTGATGGCTATGTTGTAAGTATTATTTGAGAACTGTTTGCTTTTGTCACTAGTTGCACAGAATGCGTAAAATGGTTGCATTCGAAGAAATATACATACAATGAATTAAGTTAATACCGGAACATGATTATTATTTCTGCGTAATAACATGAGCTGATTGTCGAAGTTCTTCAAGCATCGATCAGTTGCCAAACACTGAACATCATCTTTATGTCATGCTTCCATTTGGATTTTTACTTGCACAAACTACATAGTGACCCTAGTTCTGTTACTTTTCGTAGTCTGGTATTGTGCTTCTTTGGTACTTGTTTTCATTCACAATGTCATGTTCCTATTCGAGATATTCGGGAATGAAACTACGAAACTTAGTCACTAGAATGAGTGTTTAGGATTTGGTCCCCTCTACATTAAAAACTCAATCGCAAGCTGCACTCAAAGATAGACGTTCCACTTTTGGTTTAGTAAAACAAAGCTCTATTAGTTGTTGACAGCAACATTAAACATGGATTCGTTTTACCTTTCCACGAAGCATAGTAGAGTTGAGTGAATATCTAATTAGTGTTCTCTTTGAATGTACAGGCTGCTGTTACACTTTTTAACTTCCAAAAGTATCGGCACATTCAGGCACCGGGATGGTCGCTAGGGTGGACATGGGCAAAGAAGGAGGTTATATGGAACATGGTGGGAGGACAAGCCACAGAGCAAGGGGATTGTTCAAGATTCAAAACAACACTCCCCCATTGCTGTAAGAAGACTCCTACAGTTGTTGATCTATTGCCCGGAACTCCTTACAATCAACAATACACAAATTGTTGCAAAGGAGGGGTACTTAGTTCATGGGTGCAAGATCCAGAAAAGGCTGTAGGTTCTTTTCAAATAAGCGTTGGTCAAGCAGGAACCACAAACAAGACCGTCAGACTGCCTAAAAACTTCACCCTGAACACACCCGGTCCTGGGTATACTTGTGCTCGTGCCAAAGTCGTCAAACCAACTAAATTTATCAGTCCAGATAAAAGGAGAGTCACTCAAGCTATGAGTAAGTGTTATGAATCTTTTTAAACATAAATGTTTGCGCTAATAAGTTTGTCAGTCATTCTTACCCCTTGTTCGTGACAGTGACATGGAATGTGACGTGCACATATTCGCAAATACTGGCTCAGAAAACTCCTACATGTTGTGTCTCACTCTCATCGTTCTACAATGACACTATAGTGCCCTGCCCAAAATGCTCATGCGATTGCCAGAGAAACACAACTCATCCAGGAAGCTGTGTAGAGTGAGCTTTCTTCTGAAATCAGCTTCTTTTAACTTCTTTTTAACTTAAGCTTTTTCATTAAGACATTTATATTCTCCGTGAATTTGCAGACCAGATTCCCCCTACTTGGCTTCAGTTGTCTCAGCCTCCAACAAGAACAGCTACACACCTCTAGTTAGATGCACTAAGCACATGTGCCCAATCCGAGTGCACTGGCATGTCAAGGTAAACTACAAACAATACTGGCGAGTGAAGGTTACAGTTACAAACTTCAATTACAGGATGAATTATTCCGATTGGAACATGGTTGTCCAACACCCAAACTTTGACAATCTGACCCAGAGTTTCAGCTACAACTACAAGTCGATAACTCCTTATGCGACAATAAGTATGTTAATCCTGACTTCTTGTTACTTTTCATGTGTTCTTCAGTTCTTGGCTCACATAATTTGACGAACTTGAAGTGTTGCATGATTTTCTAAAAGAACTGCATATGTTATTCTTCCTTTTTAACATTGAAAGTTGCGAATCTCTGATCTGGCTTTCTTTCAAACAGATGATACTGGCATGTTATGGGGAATTAAGTTCTACAATGATATTCTGATGCAAGCTGGGCCTCTTGGTAATGTACAGTCAGAGCTGCTTTTCCGAAAGGATGAAGCAACTTTTACATTTGATAAGGGTTGGGCGTTCCCTCGAAGGGTCTATTTCAATGGTGATAACTGTGTGATGCCACCTCCAGATGCCTATCCATGGTTGCCAAATTCTGGTTTCCGGCAGTATGTCTCTCTGCTCACTCTAATCATGACTTGTCTATCGACCATTGCAGTCATGTATGCTTATGCTTAATCTAAGCTCGAAAATGTTCCGATCAATGATTTTCAAAGGGTATAGTTTAGATAGGAATATATGGAAGCCACTAGATGTTCTGATGCGTTATGATCAGTGTTCCCGGCATGAAATTAGATGGAGTCAAATGTGCTGCTGATGTTCATTTTTTGTATTACTGTAAAGGGTAGGTTGCTTCTGGCTTGTGTTGTATGAATGTTCATATCGCCAGACCCTCTTGCTTGTAGAGTTACCAGATTATGTAGTCATGATGGTAAATCCGAAACGAGCAATAAAATCTGATGAGTTTATCTGTTCTTACTGTTTACGTAATATATCAAATGATCGCGTTGTTCAATCAAATTGTGGCAGTTCTGCATTAAATTAAAGATTTCATTTGCCAATCATGTACTTATTTATATGAACAGAGAAATTCATATACCAGACTCGTCCAGTCTCTCTTCACAAGATACATACAAATAAGTTAAGTTTGCTTCTTCAAAGAATACTTGGAAGTATCTGTGCTCCAATTCTCTGTGCAAAATATCCTTCATACCTTAGCTTCAAAATTTTAGGGCGTCGATCACGATTGTGGAAGCTATGGAACCAAATCATCAGATAGCTATAAACAAGAAAAAGAACGACGAAATCAAAGCTGAGAAGGAAAGTAGAATTTCATGGGCAGAATTGGGAAGAAACGGGTAGACATCAGGTGGAGGCAACTGGCACTCATCGCCATTGAAGTAGACTTTGCGAGGAAATGCCCACCCTTCCCTCAAAGTGAAGGTGTTCTTGTCCTTTTGAAGCAGCATCTCCGACTGAACGAACCCAAATTCCCCGGCTTGCACTAATCGGTCATTGAAGAATTTCAATCCATAAAACATTCCAGTGTCATCTGCGTATAACGTAGCAGCTATGTTAGCCTATATATGACTACGAGAAGATAACGTGGAAGAGGAAATCGATTTGAACTCACTTATGGAGCTGTAAGCAATGAGAGGCTTGTAATCAAAGCTGAAAACTTGTGTGACATTGTTGAAATTAGGATGCTGCATAACCAGAGTCCAATGCGTGTAGTTCATCCGATAGTTGAAGTTTGTAATCGTCACCTTCACGCGCCAATACTCCTTGTAATTCAGCATCACATGCCAGTGCACTCTCACCGGACACATGTGGCGTGTGCACTGCAGTAGCGGCCGTGCATTGGCTTTCCGCTTAGCGTCATCTTCAACCACGCTAATCATTTTGGAATCACTTCTGCAACACAACCAAAATTATGACCATGTGATTTATTTATATATGTTTGCACAGATTGTACAATATATCGTCACTTGGTCGAGGACTTACTGGACGCAATTTCTCTTGTCCTGGCAACCGCAAGAGCAAGAAGGGCAATGAACGATTGTGGAATTGTAAAAGGACGAGAGAGAGACACAACAGCTTGGGTATTTTCTGGCCCGAAGTTGTGAATATGAGCAGGTCACGTTCCATGTCACTGCACAAAATCGGATAACTGTTACGCATTTGACATGTCACATGCTAATCAAAACGAACCAATAATCTAAAAATGTTTGAAATAAATTGAATCATGTGACACGGAGGAACTTACTCAAAGCTTGAGTCCTGCGGCGTCCGGCAGGTGTCAAAAAAATTGTGGGAGGCACAATCCTTGCCCTGCCACAAGTGTACCCTGTTCCAGGGCCTAGCAGAGTGAAGTTCCTAGGAAGTCTCACTGTACGGTTTGTAGTGCCGGCTGATCCAACACTGAGCTGGAAGGATGAGACAGCGGTCGAGGGGTCTTGGCCCCACGCGGACAACACGCCACCCTTGCAGCAATTTGTGAATTGCTGATTGTAAGGAACACCAGGAAGCAAGTCCACAAAGGTGGGGGTTTTCTTGCAACAATGAGGTACGTTCCCTTTGAACCGGGAGCAGTCACCTTGCTCCGTGGCTTCAGCTCCCACCGCCGCCCATATCACTTCTCTTCTGGCCCATGTCCACCCTAATGTCCACCCCGGGCTCATGATGTGCCGGTACATTTGGAAGTTGTTCACAGTAACAGCCGCCTGAAACATACAGTTCATTCAATAGAGGCAGAATCGATCATTCGTACATTTGGTATGTACCCTCTAAGTCTTTTTAGAACAATCTTCTTAGATAAATGACGAAGGTGAAATTCGTACAACTAACGTCATCGAGTAACGTATATGAAGTACGTCAGAAATCAAGTTTACTACAAGAAAAAAGTGATACTCACCACATAACCATCTGGTGTCCAAGACATGATATCCCATTTTACAGTTATGTTTCCATTCGGATCCAACGGATCATATGCAGCTGCATCAAATCAGAAAACATCAGATAAGTGATTATTTTTCTTTCTTCAATCCAATGCGTAGTAGTCTAAAGGAGTTAAGAGTTTTACCAGCACATGAAAAGATAGCAAGAAAGAAGAGAACTGATACCAAAGTTCTCATCTCCCCGGTCCGAAACCCTAATCTTTGACTTCCCGGTGATAGAGTTTGGATCGTAAGCTTAAGCAATGAGCAGGAGCTTTTTAGTAGCCAATGGAAGTGTGTGTATTTAAGAAAAATAGAGATCGTGCAAAGGAAAATTTCGTTAGCTTTGTAAACAGATGGATTACCTAATGGTTGTTGCATACTTAAAAGTTATAATTGCATGTTCAATTCTGATCTCTTAGTCCTTCTCATCTGAATACTTCTGTTGAGCTTTCCATGTCGTAAATTAACTGCTAATAATACCTTGCTGGCTAGGCAATTGAAATATATTTGCAGTGAACACAACATCTCAACGGTCCTCCGTTGCCGCTGATGATTAGGTTTGTAGCTCAAGTGATTAAAAATAATGGAAATTATACAACCCAAGTTCTAGCTTAACTCTTGATTAAAAGTATTAACTATTAACCCCGAATGTGAAATCTTGTGGTCGATTTTCCCCTTTCTCTAGTATCATCTTTTATAAAAGAAAAAGAAATTTAGCATGCCAAAAGTGTTGTAATTGTTTTATTTTTATATAACTATTCTACAAAACAAGTTATTTCTGCATGGCAACCTAATAATAGTTTTAGCATGTGTACACTTGCTCGAGTAGGGATAAGAGTCCCTTGCTAATAGAAATAAAGACTACTCAACTCAAGTTCTTGCAATTTAAAGGCTTGAGTTGGCTTGGAAAGGGATTGATAGCTAATTAACCATTGAGAATTAGTTCTTCGAAAGGTCGAATGCGTGAACATCAACTGGTTTTTATGTGTAAAAGCGTAAAATTTATTGCATGGGGTCATAAAGCTGCATTGCTAATTTATAAACTCAAACAAAAGCGGCAAAATTTCAACCAAATGTGTTTATCAAAGGGTTTGACAAAATAACTTAAAAAGTAATTGCAAATAACAGAAGTAATTTTCAGTGATTTTTTAAGAAACAAGAAGAACACTTCTCCTTATAAACGTTTTAATTAGATGCACGATAGAGGTGTTCCTGTTGTTATATGTGCATGTAAAAAACAAGAGAGAGAGATAATGAATTAGGCAAGTCAAACTACACATAAGGTTTGGTCGTCCCAAACCATTCTAGTATTCATAAGTAGTCTTTTTCTTTTTTTTTTTCTTTTTCTTTTTGGGTCAAATGATAGATTTTGTTAGATTAGATGTTAGATTAGTCATCGAAGGGGTTTGAACCTACGCTATCATGCAAGAACTCAACATCTTTTCACCACTGTAGTTAAGGACCACTTGCGTCTATTTCTTTTTATTTTTTTTTATTTATTTTTTTTTTTTGTCAAGCGATATATTTTGTTAGATTAGATGTGAGATTAATCGCCGAAAAAGTTTAAACCCCCATTGTCATATAAAAACTTAATACTTTTCTACCATTGTTGTAGTAAATGATCACTTGCGTGTCTATTTCATATTTTGGATATGTTAAATTGCTTTGACGCCATGGAACATTCTAGCGATAAGGTCAAAGTCTAAAATTGTCAACCCTGAATGCAAAATGTTATTTCCTATTGGGTCGTTTAAGAAAATCCACAGGCTAAGCCGCTGGTTTTAGGTGGTCAAAAGTTTATTGCTGCCCACAGTAAGTAGCTCATAATTTTCCATTCTTCCATATATACCAATCCACGTAACACTATATATACTTGGCCCATAGAAATCCAAACGCAACGGTAAAAAGCAAGAAGCAGAAAGAAAGCAAAGCAAATTACTTTCCTCTCACAAATCTTGTTAGAGAAAATCAAAGTACTAAGAGAAGGAGAATTTCTGGATTTCAGATGGGGCGTTGGGTTAGGCCTGAGGTGAGCAAGCTTCGGCTTTTATTAATTTGGTTACTTTTTTAAATAGCAGTTAGGCTAGTTGATTGCGACGACATATGTCCCACCCTTGATTTTGAGTTCAGATCTCTTCCTCGCAAATAGTTGAGAATAAAGTTTTCAAATTAATTTGGTTATAAAGTTTTTAAATTAATTTGGTTACTTTTTTTTCAAATCTCTTCGTTTTTGTCTGTTGATGGGAAGAAAACGATAGCACGAAAATACTTTCTGAAGGTCCATTAGTCTTCTCAACAAAACAATCCAATTAAGCAAATAATTAATCCCAATTTTTATTTGACATATCTTCAGGTGTACCCGTTAATGGCTGCGATGACATTTGTGACAAGCTTGTGCGCATTTCAGCTTACAAGGAACATGTTCCTCAACCCTGAAGTCAGGTACAAATTAATATACATATACATACATACATATATATATATATATAATTTAAAGGTCTAAGTTTATAAACGTGTTAATTAGTTAATTTATTTGCAGAATCAACAAAGCTCACCGTCGAATGGCGGTGCTTGAAAACGAAGAAGAGGGAGAGAAGTACGCCGAGCACGGCCTCCGGAAATTCCTCCGCACACGGCCACCGGAGATCATGCCTACCATCAACCACTTCTTCTCTCAAGAAAAATGATATCGGACATGTTCGTGAAAGTTTACTTGTGAGCGCCCCGGGGGTGTTATTTTTTAAGAGTTTTATAGCAACTCGTTCATGTCAGTTTATACTATTTTGCTTTGGGCCAGTTTTTCTTATTTATGTTTTGTGAAAGGAATGTGCTATTCACACATTACTTTTTACTTTTCATACATTCTCTTAATTTTTGATTGTCGGATCGAATAAATTGAATAAGATCAATGAATATAAATTAATAAAGAGTGTGAAAAGTAAAAAGTGATATGTGGATATCACATTCCTTGTGAAATTCCACAGCAGTCATTCATGTTACCCCATTTTGTATAAACAATAATTTAGTGATGAGCTTGTCATTTTGATACTTGAAAAACATCGTAATAAAACCAATCAATCTTTTTTTTTTTTTTTTTTTTTGTGATAATTCAGTACATGGGCAAAATATAAATATATATTTCAAGAACTAACTTCATTTTACACCATTTTAAGCTTGGTGTGAATTCCCAAATAGGTCACGAATTTCAATTTTCTCATATATCACAGGTGTAAATTCTTTTAATTTGTGTCCTCAGTTTGATTGATTGTGTGCTTATTTATTGAATTGATGATTTGGTAAGCTTGAGACCTTTGTAAAGTCTAACATGTAAGACATATTTGCACATTTTGACAAAAAATAAAAAATAAAATAAACTAGTTTTAATTTAATAGATGATTAGATGCTCAAAAAGATAAAAAATGTAAATTGAGAAAAATTTTAAACTTCATGATGCAATATGAAAAAAAATTAAAACCTCATGCCCCATTTACAAATTGTCTCAATTCAGAAGAGTGAGAATGTAGTTATTCCAATTATGCAGAAGTCATTTTAACACGCAGGCAATGAACTTCAAACAAGAGAATCGTTGGCAAAAATGAAAAAATAAAAATATTACGACAAATGATATTGGGAAGTACATGCCAAACTGTTTGGGCTTGTTGGATCATAGAAAAAAAAAAAAAAACAATTTGTTGTTTAGGATCGGCCCATGCGAGACCATGAATATGTTTATTTTATTTTTAACGGATATGTTTTTTTTCAAGATCAAAACTTTGAATTTTTTATTTTTAATGTAACAATATATTTACACTAAAGAGTAGGTGAACAAATTGTTATCGAACTAACCATTTATGATCGAAATTAAGAATTTTTACTTAAAAATAGAGAGAGAAATACCACTACACATAGTATACCAAGTAGCATTAAAATGAGGATTGGGAATGAGAAATTACTTTTATTTTTTTATTTTTGGTACATTGATATTTTTACATTAGGAGGAGTGAGAGTTTGGCTAAGCCACACAATGAGCAACTTAATTTAGTATCAAATTCGCCATCTACGATATTCGAATATAAAACTTTCAAATGAAGATGAATACCACTAGAAGGTAGTATTGAGTAACCTGCTTCTTTTTTTTATATTTAAAAATCAGACTCGTGAAAAATTGTAATTAATGTCGGAAAATGAGATGGGAAAACAAAACCCATGAGGAATGGAGAGCACATTTGCCCCCGTCTTCTCCCGTGAGATGGGAAAACAAAATACATGAAAAATTGTAATTATTGTGCACTGTTAACATTAATAATTACATTATTTTAGGACAATATTATCCTTTTAAATATTGAAAACTCAATTGTGTCCATAATAACTTTTCATACTAACTTTTCTTTTCAATTTTATCCCTAATAAGAAATAAAAATACAAATTTATCTCTAAATCTAATATTTACTTTTCTATTTCTCCTGAATATCTTTCTGCATACCGAAAGAACAATGTTGGTGACAAAAAGAGATAGAAGAGTATTAACGAGAGCTGATTTTCACACATCGTTTTTAATCTCTCATACACTCTATTTTTTATTTCTAACCATTAGATTAAATAAATCAAATTGAAACAATGAACATAATTTTGTGTCGCTCCACCTGAAACAAATTGAAACAACGACCATGAAACAACACCCAAATTAAATGTCGTTCCACAAATTCTTTCCACATACATATTTAACCTTTTGGTTCTTCGGGATGAAATTAGATTGGATATCTCACTGTATTCAAGCCTCAAAAAAGGAATGAAAAACTTTTGTCCATTTTGAAGATAAAAAAAAGAATTATTCATTAGGGAAATTTGTCCCTTCCAACTATTTGAAATGATAAGATTAGACGGGATACATTTTATTCACATGTAATAAACTCAAAATGAAAAATCATTTACTCCTCAACGCTTAATTTTTTGTGAAAAATCATTGTGTGATAGAGATTGACCTAACTTAAATTTTTTTGTTGAAAACGTTATGAACTATTGCTCCTTTAACGTTAACTTTATGTGTTAACAAGTCAATCGACATTGGTGGGTACCAATTATAGTTGAGTGCTTGAACTTTATATGCAAGTGTCGGCAGCTACTCTCTCTTAGACCAATGTAGACACTCCCCTTCCCTAAAAGTACTAATTTCATTGAAATTTTGATAAAGATAAAGTCATTATTCTTAAACTATAACAATCATTAAACTAAAACGCAAAAATTGCACTATAACAATCATTAAACTAAAACGCAAAAATTGCATAAATCAAAACTACATGGACAAAGTGAAAATCATAAATTGACCCCTTAAATACATTCGTCAAAAGACCTCTCTGACTTTGGTCTATGAGATCAAAGTTATGAGATTTAAAATCGATAGAAGTGATCTTTAATTTTGTCCACTATCAATCATTTTGTGAAAGTTTTTGTTAAATAAGGATCAAAATCACAAAAATACTCTCAATTTAATAAACAATAGGCCAAAATAATTTGACAAAAATTGAAGGTATTTTTACCATTTTATCCCCTAATTAATGGAGATTTTTGACAGAATGACCAAAATAATTGATGGTGGACAAATTCATGAATTAGTTTTATCGATTTCAATTCTTAAGGACCAAAGGGAGAAGTTATCCTAATCTCAGGGACCATTTTAGCTAAAAAGGTTATTCTAAAATGGGAGAGATTTTTTAGTGTACTAAGAACACGGGGTGGTATGCAACATATTATTTTATAATTGGAGGAAAGTTTTTTTTCAAGTGTTCCTCTAAGGGTATAGTGACATATAGTTAATGTCCGCTCCGTATTTCGGTCACACTGAAATGGATTTGCATACTATATATAAGTTGAACATATATGGAACATAGGCAATGCGGATGGACATACTCTCATGGGTTTTTTTTATTCCTTATCCTAATTATTCATAATAGTATTCAAATAAATAATTCTATTTCTTGTTTCTTTCTCATCAGTGCTTAGCCACCAGTCAATCTTTTCCACTTGGCAGTGAAGGTCCAAGGTTAATGAAAGTTCCGTTACGGTGCGAGTGATTTAACCTTTTCCTCTACGTCTCCATCCATGTTGTGAATGAATGTGATTGGTTTTGTTTGGGTTTAGCATTTATATCCGTAACCATAAGAACTCCTCGTCAGTTTAGTTTGCGTTCATAAGTTCTGCAGACTTCGTTTTCTCAGCCAAAACTGAGAAACCCAAGTTTGGTGGTCAAAACCCGACAACCACAATTTCCCTTCATCTTTTTTGGGTTGCAAAATGAAGACTCGGCAGAAGTTAGGGTTTGCTCGGCAGAACTTAGTTTTGTTAGTCACGGTTGTCGCAGCGGTTTTTAGCGTCGCCAAAGCTTGCTCCAACGGACAGTGCAAGGTTCGGGCCTCTTTTTTCATGTCTGTGTATCCAAATTATGATTTTTTTGTGACTGGGAAAAGAAGGAGTGATATTTGTTTTGCTTTCAAATGTGTAGCTGTTGGACGAATGCTCGATGGATGCCGATTGTGAGGCCGGGCTTTACTGCGGATGTTGCCCACAAGGATTCTCAGGCTCTAGATGTATAAGATCAGCCATTACAGATCAATTCAAGCTATTGGTACGTGACCTAACTACCCCTCTCCCTCTAGAAATTTTGATAACTTAACGTTTCTTGTAACACATTCAAGATTTTGATTCGTCCATTTTTTAAAGATTTAGAAATTTTAGAAATAAAACCATGCGAGACCGCTTGAGCAGTTCTTGAGGCCTCATGAGCAGTACTCGAACCTCCATTGAGTATAATCGATGCCCTCGAGTAGTTAAAATTCTAAAAATGGAGAAAAATGTGAGATAAAAAGCTTGAACATCAATATTTCGCCTATCTCTCTTACACATACATAGAGACACGGACAGGCGCATATGTTGTGAAGTTTCCAACTTTACATGAACTTACCATGGAGAGGGAAAAGGGCAGATTATTGGGGGTAGAGGGGTCCACAATGACATATTGACTCCGTGGGATTTGGATCCTCTCTTGAGCCAATGGAGAGGATCCTCCTGATTAAGCATTTTGGACCGTTGGATTTTCATTCAACGGCTATAATTATTATATCTTTAAAGAGATACTCTGTTTGTAGCCATTGGATAAAAATTCAACGGCCTACAATACTTGGTCAGAATGATCCTCTCCATTGGCTTGGGAGAGGATCCGAATCCGACTCCGTGGAATCTAAGCATGACTTGGCCCCTTCGGCTGTCACAACCAGTGACCAGAAGTTTAGAGTTTTCTATGCCATTGATTGGGCTTTAGGAGAATGGTTTGTGTAGGCCCATTGAGGCCCAATACTGGCGGAGGACTTTGCTTACTCATCTATGTCAATTTGGGGTAAAAGATTAGTTGTGTTTTTTTTTATTATCGCAGAACAATTCTCTACCTTTCAACAAGTATGCGTTTTTGACAACCCACAATGCCTTTGCAATTGAGGGAGAGCAATCTCACACTGGAATTCCTCGCGTTACCTTCAACAATCAAGAAAATACTGTTACTCAACAACTAAATGTATGACATCCTTCAATTATATAAATGCATGCCTTTTGCCTTTTCAATTTTGTTTGGAAGTTGTTATTAGCACTCTGGAATAGGTCATCATGCACTCGTCAAAATGCAATTTCTCCCTTATGTTGTTTGAAAGATGAGTGCATGATGACTTGTTTAGAGTGCTAACATGTAGGGTTTAGTCATATTTCTCAATTAATCCTTGACCTTTTGCAGAATGGGGTTCGAGCCTTGATGCTCGATACGTATGATTTTAAGGACGATGTGTGGTTGTGCCATTCTTTTAATGGACAATGC